CTATTGAATCCAGGCGATTATTTGAGTATGAGCGAGAAAAAAAAAAGCTTTCATGCAAAAAAAGAAACATTCTACTGCCGAATGTTACCATGCATTCACTGCTGCTAGGCTAAATTATATTTTTTTTTAAATACACTGAATATATAGAATATGTGGATATACTCGCCAGTAATATTTTTGAAAACCCAAGCGCTGGAGTTGGATAAGAACCACATACATCATTAAACCAAAGTGGTTGCATACGAACCTAGCAACGAAGCTATACTTTTTAACAATACAAATTTTATTTTAAAATAGTGCATGTCTATTTAAATTTGAGTTATAAATTATATTTGAACTACAAAAAAGTCATTAATAAGGTATTCGTGTTTTTGTTTCTTTTTTTTTGCTGAAGCACTAAATATAAATGATATTACGCAAAAACAATGACATGTTATAGTGAGTTTATACAATAAATTTATTTAATTAAATAATATGTTTATACCACAATTGTTATTAGAATATTACCGTATTCATACAGTTGACCCCAACCAGCACTCACACATTCAGTACCGACTGCAAAATCTTCACCAAAGCAAATAGGCTGTATAAATGCACTGTAACTGACTGGTCTTTCTAGCCTCAGAAGGGCAATGTCATTCGCTAACGTATAATCATCATAGTCTGGATGGGGAAGCGCCTCAGCTACACCAACCTCCTCATAAAAGACTGAAGGATGGAACTCAAGATCTGTGGTGCCGAATCTGATGTAGTCTATTCTTCTACCACTAAGAAAAAACATGTATTTTACAACAAAGTTAAGCATTAGTTCTCCGTCTCTGTTCAAACAATTAGAAACAATGATACCATAAGAAATGCTCATATAGCCATGCGTAAGTTAGATAAAACAAATTGGTTAGAACTATCACACTACAAAAATGTGAATGAAAATATATCAATCGGTCTAGTCGACATCATAAGGATGTTTTCCAAACTGAACAATAAATTATATTAAGGTTTTTTAGACGATTTAGCGAAAAACATATACAGTACTTATCTAAACCCTTACAGACAATGAGCAGCTGTCAACGCCCATTCACGATCAATCAATGCAGCACCACAATAATGAGATCCATATACTGTGATTGAACCAATCCACGGCCATTTCCCTGGTGGTACATCTTCACCTCCAACAATCCTATCTTCAGCAGGTAAGAAAGGTTGTGATCCACATTCTTCAGAAGTAACTGTTATAAAGAAATAGCTTATTTCACTTTCATTTTCATTTATTTATTTTCCAAATTGTTACAAACACCACAAACCTAGTAATATTCTGGCAGATTGTCACAAAGCAAACAAATTCACTGTGCAAAGACTCTCCAACTAGTACTAGAACAGAAACAAACAGGGTTTAATTAACATAAAACAGAGAAAGAAAGCAGACAAAGCAGAGAAAAAAGCACAATCACCAAAAAGAAATAAATCGGTAACAGAATAAGGGATCTCATCCAACATCCGTGGGAATGACATGAAAACGGAGTTAAAAAAAGCATTTATACAGTCCTTAGCATGTCTAAAAACAATTTTCTCAGTTCTACGGGCAATGGGCTTACTCAAGTTAGAGTAAACATAGTGATCGACATTACAGGTTTTAGTCTGATAATGGATGAATTTATTCGGTGTAAACACCAAGGATAACTCACAAAAGTCTAAATAGGACTTATTTCCAGTGGGGTCCTTCTGGTGGTGATTGAGCAGTACACCGGGACACAATCCAATACTATATTCTTTAACGTGCACATGGGCCATAATGCACAATAGACCAATGGCTTAAACGTCTCATCCAAAAGAGAGTGCGCTATTATTGCCCTCCAGCTGAAACACAAGTAAAGCAGCAATATGAATTGAACCAGGGACCGCCTAGAGATGTCCACGCTTCAGTGTACACACACAGTGGCTACCACCAGTTTAGCTGACTAAGCTAAGCTGCTCTCACCAATAGTCACATTGGTTGTAAGATTAAGCATAGTATACCTATGAGGAAATATGTCAGTACAGTGCCAACAGGATTTTGGCAAAGACAACTCACAATTTCTATTTCATGAAAATCGATTTGCAATTAACAGAATGGTGAAATAAAATGCACGAAAAAAGGTGATCCCCTATTCCAGATTACCTAAAAAGCCAATTGATAGTTAGAACCAGGCAGGCTGTTTTGAAGGTCAATCAACAAAAACGCCATTAAAACAAGTGTATGTTGATTGGCCTGGATACTGTAGGATACGTGCATGCGCAGTTCAGTCAATAACCATGAATTGGCATATTAAGACTATATAAAATCATTATTGTATTTTTGGGTAGTTTCCTATTGGAGTTCAGATTAATAACGGCGATGGTTTTAATCCTTATTTAAATACAATATTTATTCATTTGTATATCGTTACATTTTTTTTATAAAAGCTGATAGGCCTACAAGTGCCAGGTACCAAGGAGACAGAAGCCTGTAAGGGGACCCCAGACCTAATCTTAAACTACAGTAAAGTCTACAGCTTATCTCATGCAAATTAAACACACAGATAATGAAAGATAAACAATAGAGTGTAACAAAAAATTAAATAATATTAATAATAATAAAAATTATAATAATAACACAGTACAACGATATATATATATAGATCTTCAAGGTATTTCAGTATTCCTAAATACCACCTACAAATAACAAAAAAGTGTGGTGTGTGAAACGTTGAGTGTACAATTGAGTAAATACCATCACTTAAAATTGTGAAAAAGTAAACAATTACATAGAAATATACATTACTATACTATAAAATACAATACAATTTTAAAAATTATTTTTTCACGTTCAAAAAAATCCGCTGGTGCCTAGTCACATTAAACACATTAATCCCTCTCTGCGAATTACTCTTACCATTCCAGCAGCCTTGTTCATCTAACCAATCGAGACAGTTATTTTCTCGGTCACATCGTTTTGCAGCGGCAATACAGACACCATTCGCACACTGAAAACTGTCGTCACTACAAGCTGTAAACAAACAATCATTGTTTTATAATACAATTATATTATATTGATAATAAAGTGTCATGTTTATATTTCATTTAGCATTATGATACAATTGGTGGAATGCGTACAGATAGCGTATAGAGATGAACTGAGGGTTATAACAAAGAGTATAAATAGAACAAGAGAGCAAAGTCCCGTTGGTAAAAACGTCACGCCTGTGTAGGACGCCCACTAACGGTTGTATGTTCTTTTTATTACCCAGTGCAGCGCTGCGCAGTGCGGTTGAAACACGCCCGCTATAAACTCAGTAAGAGAAAACAAACGTACAGTATCTTTTGGAGAACAAATAAACAGACAAACCGACCGTGCGCGGTGGAGTACTGGGTAATAAAAAACATACAAGCGTTAGTTGGCGTCCTACACTAGATGCTCTCAATGAGCGTTGTTGGCTCTCTTGTTCTATTTATACTCTTTGGTTATAACAGCGAGGCCTACCGGTAGGGTGAGCTATTATTTAGTCAAATGAGCATTTTATATTTAAAAATAACAAATTGTTGTTTGATATACAAAAAAAGAGTATCATTAAAATATCAAAGAAAATTTTACACTATATGTGAAATAATACAAAGTAATCAATGGCCCACTTGCTTTAGTTGTAAAGTTATTTGTTTCAAAAATTTAACAATATAAAAGAAGATTTGCAAACACTCTGATTTAGAAAGATTCTGCGCATTATACCTAAATACTACAAATTGGAGTTTCTGCATATTCTACGCAGACTCAAAATTCGTAGATTGCACCCAAGCATTTGTGTATGATTTATTTCCATACTTACGGCAAGATTGTAACTCGTCACTAAAGTCAGCACAATCAATGATTTCATCACACACTTGTTCCAATAATACAAATTCAAAATCATCACATACAAAAATTTCTATAAAAAAAACAACAAAAACAAGCTATTAGGATATAGAATTTATCACCCATCAAACAATATTCGGGCTGTGAATCGCAGAGGAGTCACTTATTGTTTTATAATTGTTAAGGAGTTATAAAACATACATTTTTATGTGACAACATCCATCACAATAAAAAGATGATTGCCATAATTTTGAAATCACCTCCATCAAAGAGTTTACTGCCACCAGAAATAGTTTACCCCTTCATCTTAGGGGAGGTTTTGTAATTTTGTAAATATAATGGTAACGCATAACACTTTACACTGCCTTTGTATATTGGGTCTATAGTATATCATTGCATTTTACATTGTTATAAATACCATCGATTGTTATTTTTTAGATTAAGATGTTAAAGTAAAGCACTGTTAAACAATCAATTGACAAAAAATAGCATAAATTGTAAACAAAAAATGAGCTATAGGAATGGTATATTTATAAGTGGTGAGCAATTTTGTAGGTGAATGAAAGTTGTTCTGATTAGAAGTATTGAGGTTGAGAAAGTGGGAGTAGAAATTAGCAGTTTTTGAGTAGGTATTTGTAGCAATAACTACATGCAGAAATTAACTCGGATCGCTTGTTCAATATTTTTTTACGATCAAATGCGATGATGTATTAATTTTCGCTCGTTGAATTATGGTTCACATTATGGTAAAGTGGGTGTTCCTGCTTTTCAGTTTCATTTCATTTATTTCATTTCATTTATTTAACCAAAAACAATTACAATATAAAAGGATAAAACAGTCAAAGAGAACAAAAAAGATACAATAAATGTTGGTCTCTAATTCCCCACAAGGGCCGACAGGATAACCAAAAAGTAAAATAAATTACTGTCAAAGTGGGTTTCCATCCGATGTGGGGAATCAGAGAACAGCAAATAACACAGACAATGTGTCTAATCTGTTTTTCCATTAGACCAATATAATGCTTAGTGTCATTTTGTGTAGTGATGTCGGTTTGTAGATAAAGTTGTGGATGAGGTAATTTCCATTTAATAATAATGGGCACTCATTTTTCTGTCTGCATTTGCAGTCCACACAAAGAATTACCATTACGTTTGATAGTGACAATACAGTTTACTACTATTGAATCAAACTTACCACTTAGATTAACTGCTTTCACAATTGCATTGAAGCCTCTGTAGGTTACACTTCCATCTGTATACATTACTACCAACAATTCGTTGCTCTCAGACAATACAGAGTGGAAGTTTGCTCCCGTAAAACTGGTAGTACTTATGCTTTCAGAACTTATCCTCAAATAATCAAATCCATATTCAAGGCTGAAGTCATTGAACTGAAGGTGTATCGCCAGATCCTCTGGGACATATATTGTCCATTGACAATATAAGTTATTGTAGTAATTGTTCGGGTAATTTGGAGAGGAAAATGATTGTGATTGGCCAGAAGTGTTCAGGTGTATAAACGATGGTTCACATGCAACTGAAAATAAAAAATATATCAAAATTTGGTACACGCATGAAGTAATAGAATGAAGTAAATGAAGTAATAAAAAAGAAATATGACGTATAAAATAATAAAAGGTTTTGTCATTACACTGTAAAATCAGCGTGGAGGATATAAATTCAAAACCCCACGCAATGTTGTCCTGTCTTTGGTGACATGTTTAAAAACTAAACGTGTTTAGATATATCTTAACGTGCTTAGGATCTTGACGTAATTGGAACTAAATGTGCTTAGGTATTTAACATCATGGTGTCAAACACCTAATGCTAAACACGTCAGAAACCTAAACACATTTAGCTTTTAATGTGTCACCAATGACGAGACAACATTGTGTGGAGCTTTGCATTTAAATCATATCAAATCATCATTTTATTATAATCATCATAATCATCATCTTCTCCATAATCACCATTATAATGGTTTTGATATACAAATAGTTCATCAAAGTGGTTGATTCATACTTATTATCTGTCACCCCTCCCCTGACATATACACAAGCAGATAAAAGCAACATTGTAACTACCTCCCTACAAACCTCCTTTTAAAAAGTTATACTTTGAATTATGTGATTTATTATATTTTATCAATAATCCGTATTTCTGAGAGTGAAAAAATGAGCCCTATTTTAACTTATGATATCTCCCATATGCAAATACTGGAAATCAATTTTCAATGTGAGTAATATCCAAAGTTGATTTTCAATACTGTAAAAATATAAATGATTCAAAAAAACTGAATTTCACAGTAGCCATGAAAACAAATCATATTTATTGACTTTGACCAATGGCACATCCATATAAAAAATAAAAAGAAAAACCATTTCTTTTTCCTCTTCCCTTAAGTACAAAAATTGACACAACAAAAAGGAGAAAAGGTAAAAAAACAAAGGAGGCAAGCGATAATAACTGAGGAAAAAAGGCATAAAAAATGACGGAAATACAGTAGAAAAAGATTTAAAATTCACAGAAAGATCGTGTAGGCCTACGTTTTCTTGTATAGAAAATTGCATTTTCAATTATCTAGAGCTCTACATTTCTCCTACAACTTAAAATGTTTTAATTTTAGTTATTAATACGTTTAAGATCTCAACAATTATTGCATACGTTTATGTGGCTGCGATCTGATTTATGATTGCATTTTAAGATTCAGAATCATCAATGTTCTACTACATTAATAATCTATTTTTTTGTTGTTGAATATTTTATAGTAATAATAATAAACAAATATTTACATGTTAACATCAGTATTAAACGTTTACTGTAAATAACTTAACACTTCACTTATTACACAAACATTAATGATACAAACCTGGCGGCTGATATGTCGTAAAAACAGGAAAACAATTCAACTCATCTTCACCAAAAGAACATTCTTCAACATTATTACAAACGAAAATGTTGTCTAAACATAGACCATCGCGACACACAAATCCACAAGGATCTAATAAATCAAAATATAAAACACCTTTATGTATAAACATATAAACATATATTATATATATATACATATATATATATATATATATATATATATATATATATA